TATTCTAAATTATTGAGCCAATAATTATCATGTATTGCTTTAAAAGAAGCAACTGCGTAATTCTTAATTAGCCATGCAATACCTCTGAAACATGGCGATAACAGACAATAATTCCTTTGAGGACCACGGCCGGGCTTGGGCCAAACTTTAATGTTCACAGTAGCGAAAGTCCCTTTTGGGTAGAGGAGTACGCTGTTGAGTTCGAATATCTTCTCAAAGTCCAAAGCACCAACGTTGGTGCCCCCCACAAAGATTTCAGGTTTGAAGGTGAACACGTAGAAATCATAAAACTCGATTGTTTTCCCGTCGTTATTGGAAAACTTGTATGTCACATTTGGCAGAACCGGAACGGCAAACAATCCTCTAGTAAGTGGACCGAAGAAACTCTTGTTGATAGGCAGTACATAAGCACCTTCGACGAAGTTAACGTAGGTCAAGCGAACGGCTAAGGCCACAGCGGACGCAAGAGACACATGGGTTTTCTGTGGTAGAAAGGAAAGATGTAAAGCATTATATTTATGTGCACAAACTCCCGAGAAAAGTAATCTGCTAATATTTATGAGTCCTTTTAGAGGCAAAGAAACAGTTATTTAAATGGAATGTATGTTTAGTACTTCTCGGGAAGATGGGTCGTATACAGCGACGCGTTTATTCACATCATCCACTTAATCACCACCGTCACGAACACCATCCTGTCAGGCAAGGCTAGGGCAGTGGTTTCCTCTTTTCTGGGTTAGACAGTGGAATTCAGCTTTGTCTCCTAATCTGCCATTGCTATGTGCCTTGGTGGGAGGAAAAACTGTGACCGAACTGGGCATCACAATTTATTTCTGCCTTCACCGACTACGTCTATGACGGTCTAAGGGGAATCGGAGCCTTCAACCTGTCGGCGTTTATAAAAAAGGAAGCATGAGAACATGGAAGCCATTCTGTTTGACTAATTGCATTCGCCAGAAAAAGTTATGTTTGCTTACTGAAACACCTTTACTGGCTAAACTGCAACCATGTGTTTTGGAAATTTACACGCTTCAGTGATAAAGTTTACTAGAAAAATCGCAATAATTTCCCATTTTTACGTCTGTTGCCAAAAACATACGCGGAACAAAATAAATGAAATAAGTAAACAAAAGATTGTCTAGGGCAGGCTGTGAGTAGTGGTCATGAATCGAGAACGTAGGGGGAACATGGTTGTCACGTGCACGGGGTAAACAACTGTAACCAGAGCATGGGAGTGACATGCAATCGATACCTGGTATCGGCGATAGCCACGGAAGAAGGCTTGCTTTAATTTTTGGGCAACAGTAGTTTAAGTTGTGCACCACCTATAGTCCTAGCCCCAGGAGTTTGTCCTATGGAAACGGTGGTTATAGGGGTTTTATGGGTGAGGAATTAGGATACACAGTGGAACATACTTTTTAATCGCTATATGCATTTTTATTTTATTATATTTATAAATTTTGTTGAGTTATATCTGTAGATTTTCCTAAACTTTATAATTGTTTAACATATTACGGAAAAACCCGATTATCAATATGCACGTATCTCTAAATTCCTGAAAAAATAGAAATGCTGATAAGTAGTTCGTCTGCTCCAACTTACCCGAGGTCCAACTTACCGTTCTGGAGTTAGGTCCGCAGTGCGAAGCGCCGCGCGCTTCTCCAATTTACATACGGGACAACTTACTACCAGCTGCCGCAGGAAACGAAATTCGAATACATTTTTTCCACCTTACGCTTACTGCTACAAATTTCCTTTACTACCTTTCCAGTTTTCCTACGTCCAAAACCCCTATAACTACCGTTTCTGTAGGAAAAATCCTGGAACTGGGAGTATATGAGGTGCACTGCTAAAAATACATTTGCCAATCTTTGTTGCTTTTGCAAAGGAATTTTTATGTTTCCGTCTTCTATTATTTCTTATTCATTGTCAATTATCAGACGATCGGTTCGACGTAACTGTGATCAACCGTCATATATTTAGAGATATTCTGACAGTTCCAGAGCCTGACCACTATGCGTAGGTACCTTACGTAGGAGAAGAAAAGCACGTTTTATCTAACTTCGACATTCCGTGTCATCGAACGGCGAAACCATTTTAACTGTAGGAAAAAGCTTCCTGCCTTTTTGATGAATTTCAGTGCAGAAACATATTTTAGGGGTAAATTGCTAAGTCTGAGTAGCTTTCTTTGCGATGAGTAGCGTAATTACGATGGCATTTAGCTAAATGAACCCCATTTAACTAAAACATCTGTAAAATTTACAATTCTGTCGCTTGATAGTGGGTTCGAAAAGGATCACATTTATGACAAGCGTTTTTTCTGAACAAGAAAAAACCATCTAAATTGGCAACCAAGCACTGCGCCTGCTCATGATATTTATCATTCCAGCGATATTTTAGTGTCGTTGTTTATTCCGTTAAAAGTATGCCAAATCCAATAACACTTGCTCACAGAATGTATTGCGAATGCAAGTCATTTTACTCGAAAAACGTCTACGGTAAATTTCCTTGTACCCCACTCCTAATTTATCTCAGTCCCTTTTAATGCTTTATCGGCAAATATAGTGAACACAGTGTTCGTTATATACCCTAGCCCCAGTAGAATTTAAAATGAATACTTCCCTGTATAACCTAATGTTTGGCGTTTGATAACCTAAGTGAAAAATTGAGCAAAAAAGAAACAAAAACTACTCAATAGTACTCGTGAATTCGATAAAGTGGTGTGTAGACTCTATATCGAATTTAAGCGATTAAAGTAAAACCATAAAGGATAAGTTTTTCCCGATTTCTCAAAGCCCGCGATGCTTCCAATGTTTTTTTACAGTTACTGCAATACAATAAGCCAAAGCTGCAGCATGCCGCCAAAAAATAAAAATAAAATACAAGTTAAAACAAAGTAACTAATGTAAACTGACCTAAACCTAATACAACAGAATAATTAACTAAATGCTAAAGTAAAAAATATAAAAAATTGCTATCTAAACTGCAATAAACTTGAATTAAACGAGTAAATTAAATAATTAACTACAAACCAAACTAGACTAAAAATAAGCTTAAACTAATAAAACTAAAACTAGTCGCAGGACGCTAAAGCTGGCTGTGAAATAACTCAGCATAAGTACGTCTACTAAAATACGTATAGAAGTTTTTCAAGTTTAGTTGTTCGAAGGACGAATTGATAGATCAGCGTTCACTGATCGCTCACGGAATTCGCACGTCCCATTCCGCCCTGGCGCTCATTTTGCAGCCCCAAAAAAGCTGCGCATTGGCTAGTATTTCAGACAGGAAAACATTACCGAAAAGTCAAGTGAGAGTGGAGCAGCCATTCCTGGCTTATAAGTAGTCATCAGTCAACCAGATATTATCGAGACCCCTATTTCTCAAGAGTATGTGGGTATGGGTTCGGTATCTAGTAACTAACTATGCTTCCGTATTCAGGTATAGCATCATTCGAATTGTGTCCTGGCGCCCATCTTTTTCACCCTAAGCCGCAGACATATAACTAAGACAGTACGGCCCAGAATGCGTGTAACATGCAGACGTGTGCGAAAGATTGATAGGCTTTCGTCAGTCGGCATTGAGTAAGGTTTTAATACTGATTATAGTGTAGTCTACTCTGAAATCTTTTCAGGCACGATAGCATTCCGACTTTTTAATGAGCTTCTTTTTGACCACTAGAACAAAGCATATATACGGTAAAAAGTAACTGCTTAATTTGTATGCATTTTAATCATCGATTTTGATAGCCTTTATAAATTCAAATATAGTTTATGGAAAAATACGGGAAAAAATATTTCTGGCACTCGTTTGGCAGGAAATTACCGAGTATTAAAATTTTATACTTAAGGAATTGATATTTTTAGGTTTCAAAAAATTTTCTAATTATGAGCTTTTATACGTTTGTGAGGTGGTCATTCATAATACGTCGTATCAGTCAATTTCGTAATGCTTACTGTATACAGTATTATCCACATCTATTTCAACATCGTAATAAAACTCTTTGACTTAATCCTTAAAACGTAGGAGAAAACGTAATTTTCCTTAAATGGGATACACACAGCACGCAGTTTATATATCTTGAATTCAAGTGTAGCAGTAAGTGGGTTTCAAAATTATCCAGCAATTTGGAAATATTTTTAAAACTGAAAGATACCTATTCTCTAAGTATAAAGATTTAAAGAACGCATAATTTCCTGGCAAACGAGTACAAGAAATATTTTTTTTCGTTTATGTTTTCCAAAAATATATTAGATTATATAAAGGCGGGCAAAATCGGTGATAAAATACATACTACTTAAGTTGCCACTTTTTACAGTACATACGTTTTCTTTGCGTTCAAAAAGAAACTCGTTAAAAGGTCGGCGTCATATCGTGACTGAAATAACTTCAGAATGGACTACACGATAATCAATATTGCAATCTTAGTCAATGCCGGCTAGCGAAAGGGTATCAATCATTCGCATATATCGGCATGTTACACGAATTCTGGGCCGTACACTAGAATGTGCAGATAACATAGGAATTACTGAACGAGCAGGTCTCAACTGAATGCCAGAAATAAGTACTCACACTTTCGAGGATGAAGGAGGAAATGTTAAAGCCCTGACCAGCCGGAAGTGCGGCCATCACATACGTACATCGAGCAGCGCTTGCCAGTGCTCCCTTTTCCGAGAGAACAAATCGCCACAGACGTAGGGCATCGTAGGTTATAGCGTTGGACGGATCCACCTGGATGATGGCAGTCTCGCTGTTCTCACAGAAGGACATATTACTCACCTTGTCAATAAAGTCGGAAGAGATCGATGGGCGAGCCAGGAGGACAATGGCTGTAAGTTGAAGGATGATTAGATTTCAATTATGTTTCCCTACATTTAGCCTTGAAGTAAAGCCGTACAATGAAAGGCAAAAATGATTATGTTTACAGGCAGAGCAGAGCGTTTTGTTCTAATTATGTCCTGTCTCCCTAGGATAAAATGGCATAGGCCATCACATTTACTTGCACTCTGGCCGATAAGTTAACAATTCCTAAACAGAAACATCGTCAGAGACATCAGAAATGAGAGGTAGCGAATGGAGTACTGATTTGAGAGATTAATTGTAACAATCCAAAGCATCGATTGTAGTAGTTATCAATAATTTGGAAAATATTACTCTCAGACCCTCGAGGAAAGCCTAATATACCCGAGACATGATTTATTAAAAAACTTCTGCACACATAAGCACATTCATGAAATCCAAGGATTTTACAAGTAACTCCCCGTTACTCAAACGCAGCCTAAGCTGCGGCCCTTAAGTCCTGCAGCAATAAAGTAATGGTCGTGCTTCA